AATTGATTCATATTTGCAATAAATATTTTTTATTTTAATTCAGAAAAATATTTTAATTTTCAATTTCTCTTACCTACGAGGAATGTTTTTCCTGCAAAATTCTTGCATTTTAACAATAAGTAAAATGATAAATTCATTCGTCAACCCTTTCACTAAATCTCCAATTACTTTAGTTACTTTTTTGTATATCTGGGAATTATATGAATGAGCAATGTATATTATTAAAATTCAAAACATGTTTGAATGAACAATATTAGTACCATCTCCACATGTATGTTGATAAATAACAACAACACGTCGCTGTAACTAATCAGAAATTAAAAACATTACAATTTAATTCAAGAGCATAAAAATTAAATTAATTCTTAGAATATAGAGCAGGTTTCAAGTTTATATCTTATATGCTTTAGATATAATGCTGATGATAATTTAGAAAACTACCGTAGTAAAATTTAGATAATATTTTGTAGAGTATGTAGCTAGCCCCATCAAAACTCATTTATAATATAAAGGAAAAACTAAGCAATGCAAATAATTTAAGCTAAGCATTAAAAAAGGAGCAAAAGATAGATAAAAATATAAGCATTGCTTATTTAAATGAAAGTTGTACGCTTGAATTCACTCAGGCATCTATACTTACTCTACATGTTACTTAAAACTCATAGTCACTTTACTTTTTACCTACGAACGTTATTTTATTTTAGAGAGAATAATTTATAAATTCTAATAAATTAACTGTACGATAAATAATGACTACTTTGCTATTTGCTATTTGCATGGAAGACAAATTTTGAAAATTTCGAGCAATAAAACATCCATAGATCATCATCTGTTATTGCTCAGAATTTCAAACTTTAATCAAATAATTCGAAATTAAAATAAATCTCCCAACCTCAATAAACGTAAAACATTCAACAAACGAATCAAACATGTGGAAAGACATATCAAAATGATTAACAACAACACACATCAGTTACTGCGCAGAAAAAATGAAACTGATCAAAATACAAAATAAAATTAATAACAAGTTAAAGATTAGATAGAGGCATGCAAAGATATCTAATGTAGAAAACTTTAATTGCTTAAAACTGACAAAAAAGCTTAAAATTTAAAAACAACGCATCGAGAATAGCAAATAACCAACCTAAAATATAATTTATGCTACATTCTATGCATAAATAAAAATGAGATTAAAAAAAGGCACTTAAAGAATAAAAAATGAGGCCTTTTTAATAGATAGACCTTAAAAACAGAGCGCAAGCCATTTTTCAGATGATCAAATAATACATTGAGCCTAACGCCTACTTTTTTCCGTTTTTATTAAGCTGACTTGTCGTGAATGCACTGATCGGTAAAAATTTTTAACAGATAAAGCATAAAAAACATTTTTAGATGCAAATTTTCTGAGGGCAGTAAAAATCTATGAAAATAAATCTTACATTTGTTAAAATTCAATTCATTTTCGCATAGAAATGTTAGTAAAAGTAAGTTAGCAGGGAAGATCCAGTGTATCGAAAACTTCCTACCGATCACAGAATATAATCAAAAATATTTGCGAATAAATGATTCATTCGCAAGTATATTTTTATTACTTTTAGTTTTCAATATGTGAACGATTCCGAAAGTTATCAAATGATTGTGATCGAAAGTGATCATATGATTGTGATCGAAAGTGATCAAATGTATTTAAAATTTTTTTTAAATTAAATTTTCGATAACAAGCATATTAAAATAGCAACTGAATGAGTATCCAACAACAGATATTTGTTTTTAATCACTTTTTCATGTCTAAAGAAATGAAAAATAAACTGAACTACATTAATAATAGTGGTGATATATCTCAAGTTAAGCTTCTCTCATAACTTTAAGTAAAATCTATCTCTAATAATTTTCCATCTAACTCACTTAAGAACGTAATGATTCTCGATAATACAAACAAGTCTTTATGAAGTTATTCATAATTAAGACGAATAATAAATATGGACAGTCAAGAAAAAATCCAGCAAATTGACAAAATTCATCCTGAATAGGAACGAGTTTTTTTTCGTGATCCTATGAATTTGAAAATTATAAAACTTTCACAGATTCCATTTTCACTTCCATTTTACAAAATAATTACAATAATAGAAAATTTTTAATGACTTGACATTCAGAAAAAAATTCAAAATTCAGAATTAAGACTGCATGGAATACACATAAGCTTCAAATCTTCTCAAAATTTAACGTGTGCGTTTATTGAAACGTCAGTAATTCTTCAATACAATAACATATGCATTAACCTCAATATTTGTCTAAGTTACTGTACAAATCATCTGTACATTATCTAACTTAATTTCGGACTACACAAAAAATAAACCTTAGCTTAAAGATGAATTAAGCCTATGACAGATGTGCTTCTTATCTCAGCAAGCATGAAAAACAATAGTAGCAACTGACTGAAAAAGTTTACAAAATAAATAATACTAAAATTTAATAATAACATATTTTTAAGAATTAACAATCGCCCTCTTTCTAACTTTCTTTATTTTGAACTTTTATACATTTTTACATGTGCAGCATTCCTGCCAAATGCAGTAAATATAAGTGATTCATTCATAAACTAAACAGAAAAGTACACGTATTGATGAATCAGAAAACCTATGAATTAATAGCAAATAATTCAATGAATTAATAGTAATACATAGTAAAAGTTTTTCTTGATGCTATAAATTTGAAGATATTAATTAGCATATTTTGCGTCTAAAATACCTTCGTTTGCAGACGATTGCGATGTGATCGTGGCAGTTGCCACTGGTGCCACCAGTGATGTATTATAAGTAATATCAGAAGCGGATAGTGGAACAGAACAAGAATGATCACCCATTTGCATTGTCATCAATTACTTTCAATAATTTTTACTTGCGTGAAAAATCAAGTATTAACATTTGATCAGCACATTACAATAGTAACATATCAGTAAGAGAAGAAAAGTGTAATAAATACTGAAGAACTGAAGTACTGAATACGATAAACTGACGTGAGATCAATGCGAAATAAACTATGCTGATCCGCTCCACCAACAAAAGCCCATCATTTATCGTGTAATAAGAACATATGCTAAAATGACTGTCATGAGATAGCGTGAATTCAAGTGCATAATTTTATTAAATTTTGCTACTTCGATAACATTTTTAAGGAAGAAAGAACATACACGTAAATTACGAGTAAACATTTAATATGAACATACGTACTACGCTAACATTTTAGTACTACTCTAAAAAGAGTAAATAATGTATATAATACTGATAATTTATATCCGACTAGAATATAAGAAGAATAACAACTAGTTTTTAAATTTAGCATGTTTGTAAAGAATATGCTGAATAGCAAATATGATAGTATTTACGCAAGTATAATGAAATCCACGTAACTAACACTGAGTAAATTAATGTGATAAAATTTATCAGCAAATTACCAGACAGAAATGCTAGACAGAATGCTGCTGCAGCGAATAAAATAAATACTCGACGGAACTTTAAAATGGAACTGATGCGTACGTCGATCCCGTGGGAGTTATGCAGATATATACATCACCACGAAGACGTACACACGCACGGAGAGGAAAGCACACACACATACAAACACACACGCTCAAATGGTGTGTGTGTGTGTACACAGACATACAGACATATAGACATTCCCACAATCACACTTACACACACACACACACGTGCACTCACAGATATGGACGTGAGGCAGAGAGATGGGTTCCATAAACACTCAGAGGTACAATCAATACGTTACATCGTGGCGTAGCCTTTCGAAACTCTTCAATGTCTGTGATGTGATGGGGCCAAATGCGATTATTATATAATTCTTCCATTTTTAGCTTTCATTTGCATAATTTACATTGCAGTGTAGTTATACTCTTATACTCTAAATGCATAGCAGTGCACTGCAGCGATGCTACACTGCAGTGTGAGTGAGGTGTTGCGTGATAATTTGAATGCATAGTGCTGCAGTGTGGTAAAGATTGTAGTACTACTGCAGTGTGGTCATGTCACTTTAAAATGTATTATGTTGCTTTAACACGCAAAATGAAAATAAAAAAAATTGAATTAGTAATTTTTAGTCATTCTTTGCTAAGAGGCAGTATCAATTAAGGTAATTATGAGTAAAACTTATAAACGTAATTATCACGTGATGAATTTTTTTTATGAGCAATTTGCATGCATTATTTGTTTTAACAAATAAAATTTTTGCAATTTTCTCTAAAAATGACGTATACACGAGATAAGCGTTACGTAAAAATATTTTGCACCATATTTTGTTTGATTTCTTTTAAATTTTGTCGTTATTTTTTGCATTTTATCTAATTAGAAAACAATTATCGATCGATTTTATCCTCAATAAGCAAACAGTCGGGAAAGTATACCGCATATACTAGTCTGTATTTTTTTTAACGATTCTTCTTCTGTCGAAGGTTTGTTTTGTGTGAGAATGAAAGCACTATTATTTATAATAAAATTGATCTGTGTAGTATTTCTGTATTTAATTCTTACTGTTGTATTCAGTTAGAAGTACTTTTGTAAGACTGTCGCTTGCATTTGCTAGTAATTTTGCTGTAGTAAAAGTTTTTGCTAGAATTAATCTACTTAGAGAAAATGATTTACTAAATATTTCTATACATTAATATAGGATTAGATAAGATCTTTGAGATTCATTGCAATCACTGAATCTCAAGAATCCTCACTTGTAATACGTTTAATCTTGGAGAATAAGTCGTTGATCAGTTTTTTTTTTTTTTTTT